CATGAGGCCCTGGGTTCGATTCCTCAGCACCACATAAGCAAAAAGAAAAAAGATGGAAGTGGCGCTGTGGCTCAAGTGGTAGAGCGCTAGCCTTGAGCTGAAGAGCTGAGGGACAGCGCCCAGGCCCAGAGTTCAGGCCCCACGACTGTACCCAAAAAACAAAAAACTGGGAGACAGCGAGGGAAGGGGTAACACTTTCCTAAAAGAAATGTACTTTTTACCTAACTGATGTAACTGTAACCCCTCTGTATATCAGCTTTCTCATAAAAAATTGCCCAAATTAAACCAAGAAGTTTTAAACCAACTAAACAGACTCATATCAAGCATTGAAATAGAAATATCAATAAGAGGCCTCCCATCCAAGAAAAGCCCAGGACCAGATGGATTCACAGCTGAATTCTACAAGGCCTTCAAAGCAGAGCTCACATCAATACTCCTCCAACTCTTCAATGAAACTGAAAGCAAAAATTCACTACCACACTCTTTCTATGAAGCCAGCATAACTCTCATCCCCAAACCAGACAGGGATTCGTCAAAGAAAGAGAACTGTAGACCTATTTCTTTGATGAACATTGATGCAAAACTTCTCTACAAAATTCTGGCCAATTGACATTAACAATTCACCAAAAAAGCATACACTATAATCAAACAGAATTCATGTCAGGGGTGCAAAGCTGGTCCAATATATGTAAGTCAATTAATGTAATTCATCACATCAACAAGAGCAAGGATAAGAACCACATGATCATCTCAATAGATGCAGAAAAAGCATTTGACAAGATCCAATACCCCTTTATGATGAAAGCTCTGGAGAAATTAGGAACCTATGGAACATTCCTCAATATAATTAAGGCTGTGTATGGCAAACCTACAGCCAGCATTATACTTTATGGTGAAAGGCTAAAGCCATTTGCTCTAAATTCAGGAATGAGACAAGGATGTCTATTCTCTCCACTCCTCTTCAACTTAGTGTTAGAATCCCTAGCTAGAGCAATGAGATGCAACATAAAGGGGATCCAAATACGGAAAGATGAAGTCAAACTCTCCCTCTTTGCAGATGACATGACCTTGTATTTTTTTATTTTTATTGTGAAAATACTGTACAGAGGGGTTACAATTACATGGGCAAGATAATGAGTACATTTCTTATCAAGCATTGTAGCCTCCTCCTTTGTTTCCCCTTCCCATCCCTTCCCAGCCTTCCCCCTGCCCCATGACCTTGTATTTAAAGAACCCCATGGACTCCACTCCCAAGTTACTCAAGCTGATCCAAAACTTTGGCAAATACTTCCAAAGGCTATCTACAAATTCAATGCAATACCCATCCCGACCTCATTCTTTAATGAAATAGAAGAAGCAATCCAGTTGCATGAAATTGCAGAGCTTGTGCATGGCAAAGGACATAGCTAGCAAGATCAATAGAAAGCCCATGGATTTGGAGAAGATCTTCACTAGCTATCCAACAGACAAGGATCTCATATCTAAAATATACCTGGAACTCAAAAAATTAAATCCCCCAACAACAAACCCTCAAAGAAACAACTGTCCAATAAATAAGTGGGCTTAAGACTTACAGAGAAACTTCTCTGAAGAGGAAAGAAGGATGGCCAATAGACACATGAAGAAATGCTCATCCTCGCTAGCATAAAAAAAATGCAAATCAAAACAACACTGAGATACCACCTTACCCCAGTTAGAATGGCTATAATCAAGAACTCTAATAACAACAGATGCTAGAGGGGATGTGGACAGAAGGGAACCTTACTGCATTGTTGGTGGGAGTGTAAGTTTGTTCAACCACTTTGGAAAGTAGTATGGAGGTTCCTCAAAAAACTTCACATAACGCTCCTATATGACCCAGCAATCCCACTTTTGGGCATTTACCTGAATGATCACAAACAAGACCATAAAAGCTACCAGCACGACTATGTTTATCGCAGCATTATTTACCATAGCTAAGATATAGAATCAACCCAGATGCCCCTTAGTAGATGAATGGATCAAGGAAATGTGGTATATATATACACTGGAATTCTATGACTCCATCAGAAAGAATGATGCCCCATTTGTTAGGAAATGGAAAGACTTGAAAAAAATTATATTAAGTATATTATATTAAGTAAGCCAAGCACAAAGAAACATAGGTCCCATAGTTTCCCTTATTTGCAATTACTAGTATATGTCTAAGACAAACAGAAATGGTCAGATAAGTTGATGTTAGGCAAAATGAACCCCAAGATAAGGACTCAAATGGTTTTTCTTTCTTGCTATTGTTTCTAACATATTTATAGGATGATTTCTTTGTTGCTTTGTATGTCCCTCCCCCAAGGAATAACCCCTGTTTTCACTGTATTTGATGTTGGTATAATTTGGGGAGGGGAAGGGAAAAAACAAATTGTTTAAATAGGGATACAGGTGAACCCATTGCAACAATGAGAAGTACAAGACATTATGTTGAAAAACTAACTTTACAACTTTGGCAGGAGGGGGGGGGTTGCAGTGGAGCTGGGAGGGCAGGGATGGGAAGGGGAAGCTAAGGAGGAGGCAACAATGCTTGAGAAGAAATGTACTCATTACCTTGCTCATGTAATTGTAACCCCTCTGTACGGTATTTTCACAATAAAAACACTTATCAATAAAAAAAGAAGCAATCCAAAAATTCATATGGAACACTAAAAGACCCTGAATAGCAAAAACACTCCTTAGCAAAAAGAACAGTGCTGGAGGAATATCAGTACCAAACTTCAAACTGTATTTCATAGCCATAGTAATCAAAACAGCTTGGTACTGACAAAATAACAAACCTGAGGAACTGAAGACCCAGAAATTAACCTGGAGACCTATAGCCACCTAATCTTTGATAAGGGAGTAAAAAAAATAGGATGGAAGAAAGACAGCCTCTTCAGTAAATGGTGCTGGCAAAATTGGTTAAACACCTGTAGAAAACTAAAGTTAGATCCTTATATATCATCCTGCACCAGAATCAACTCCAAATGGATCAAAGACCTCGAAGTAAAAGCAGACACTCTGAAAACAGTACAGGATGGAATAGGAGAAACTCTAGGGCTCCTTGGCACAGACCAAAATTTTCTTAATAAAGACCCAGAAACACAACAAATCAAAGAAAGGTTGGACAAGTGGGATTGCATGGAACTGCAGAGCTTCTGCACGGCAAAGGACATAGCTAGCAAGATCAATAGAAAGCCTACAGATTGGGAGAAGATCTTCACTAGCCATACAAAGCAGTATGGAGGTTCTTCAAAAGACTCCACATAGAGCTCCCCTATGACCCAGCAATCCCACTTCTGGGCATTTACCCAAATGATCACAAACATGACCACACTAAAGCTACCAGCACGACTATGTTTATCGCAGCATTATTCACCATAGCTAAGATATGAAACCAACCCAGATGCCCCTCAGTAGATGAATGGATCAAGAAAATGTGATATATATATATATATATATTGTTTGCCTCCCTCAGAAGGAATGATACCGCCCCATTTGTTAGGAAATGGAAAAACTTGGAAAAAAATCGTATTAAGTGAGGTAAGCCAGACTCAAAGAAACATAGGTCCCATGGTTTCCCTTATTTGCAATAATTAGTATATGTCTAGGATAATCTTAGCAGATGAGCCTAATAGCTCAATAGCTATATGAGGGGCTGGGAAGGTGGCTCAGTGGTAGAGCGCTTGCCTTGCATGTGTGAGGCCCTGGGTTTGATTCCTCAGCACCACATAAGCAAAAAGAAAAAAGCCAGAAGTGGCGCTGTGGCTCAAGTGGTAGAGTGCTAGCCTTGAGCTGAAGAGCTGAGGGACAGCGCCCAAGCCCAGAGTTCAGGCCCCACGACCGGATCAAAAAAAATAAAAGCTATATGACCATATAAGATGATGTTAAGCAAAACGAACTCTAAGACATGGACACAAGAGATTTCTCTTTGCTGATGTTGTTTTAATGTATTATATGATTTTTTTTTGTTTCTTTTGTATGTCCTTACCCCTATGGTATAACTCCTGTTGTCACTGTATTTGATTTTGGCACCCTGGTATTGTATATATGTTTATCTGAATTAGGGAAGGGAAGGGGAGCAACCGAAGGGTGGGACAAAGCACAAAGGGAGAACCAATACAACAATGTCATACACAAGACAATATGTTGGAACTGATCTGTACAACTTGGTGGGGGATTTCTGGGGAGGGAAAGTAGGAGAAAAATGAGGGAAGGGCTAACAACTTTGACAAGAAATGTACTTATTGCCTTATTTATGTAACTGAAACCCCTCGGTACATCACCTTGACAATGAAAAAGGAAGAAAAAATTTAAAAAGCATGCCTTTCCTAACCTTCAAAGACAAGTCTGAGATGACCAAATAGCTCATCAAGTAAATCCTACCTAAAGGGGCCTAATAAAGAAGCTGGTTTAACAAGAAAGTGTCCTGGGGCAGCTAAGTCCTGATAAGCAAGGGGCCATCTGACCAGGACTCCCCTCCCTCAGCAGGACTCCCCCTCCCTCACCTAACCACAGTACACATGCACAGAGGGCAAGAACAATGACCCACAGTAACATCTCGGTCCCACAGTTATTCAGCCCTCAGCCCAAGACTATTTAGTCTCTATAAGGAGCATGTGCAGATTCACACCTGGTCCTTAAGTTCCATCGGTCAGTCAGTCTGCGCATTGGAATTAGTGCCAACCTGAATGCTAGCCTATACCGAATCCTGGCCTGTGGAAACCCCAGGCAACAATGCATCGGGGCTCTGAGGCTCACATGTGTATCCACTTTTACTCTAACCAATTTTCTCTATTGTTTTCATTAGGTTTGCAGTATGGTTTGTGTCTTGCTTCAATTTGCACACAAGAGTTGAGGTTAGCTTGCATGCATTTTTGAGGTTTAGCTGTGTGACTTTCTAGTATACCATCTTTCAGCAGGCTAACACAGCAGATGACTTATTCTTTATGTTAAAGAGTGGTGGCCTGGCTTTGGGCTGTGCTGAATGAAAGCTAGATGTTGATTCTAGACTGGCATTCAGCTCGCCTAGATGCTGATAAGCAAGAGGAAGGTCTGGAGGCATCATTATACTTCTTGGGGAAGAGATTCCTACCATGTCCAAAGCCAGCATCAACGCCCATGGAGAAGACAGGCACACCATCGATGCAATTTGACTCTTTTACTTTGTGCAGTATAGGGAACTGAACGTAAGCACAGTAGACTGCGCTGGACCCCTACCTGATTTCTATGTCCCCTGATTTTTTATTAACAGAACTCTGTTTGTGGAGAATCAAGGGGACAGTAATGTGCTCAAATTTTCACCTCCCCTGTTTCGCTAGCAAATAGGGCAGAGCATGTGATTTAGTACTGGCCTGTGGGGTAAGCACAAAATGTCTGTTGGTTTGGCTTTCCATGACCATTTTTGTTCGTGTAATTGAGAATGGAGAAGGGAATGCTGCCACATACCTTTTTACCTTTTGCTCATTCTCTTTATCCTGCCTAGAGTAAAAGAAAAGTGTAGAGTGAGAACGGCCATTATGACTGTAAAATCCAAAGTCATGCGAAAGACAGAGAGTAGAAAGCCAAAAGAACCCAGGTCCCTAAAGACTGTTTAAAGCTGCTACGCCACCTTGAATTACCTCACTCCAAGCTGCTCCCCAGAGTGGAAAAATCAGATCTCTGCTAAGCTTGGCTTCTGGAGTCCCATCTGTTACCTGTCACCAACTGCAGCACATACAACTCATTCACATCGGATCCTGTTCTCCAGGAGAGCTGGGAACTAGTCCAACATTCTTAGTCCAGGTTAGTCTTTCCTCTATATCCTCTGTCAGCCCTATTTTGAGTTGCAAATTTATTAATATTATTGTTTCGTCAAAAGAAAGTAGCATTTTCTCAGTAACATAATTCAAGATGCATGTACAAGTGGTAACAGTGGCTCACACTTAACAATCCTAGTTAACGCAGGAGATTAAGATCTGAGGGTAGAGGTTCAAGGCCAACCCAGATAGAACAGTCCTCAAGAGTCTTATTTCCAATTAACCAGCAAAACCCTGGAACCCTGTGGCTTAGTGGTAGAGTGCTTGCCTAGCATGCATGAAACCCTGGGTTTAATTCCTCAGTACTACATACATAGAAAAAAAGCCAGAAGTGGAGCTGGCTTCTCTATACCAGTAGTGTGCTGGCCTTGAGCAAAAGAAGCTCAGGGACAGTGCCCAGGCCCTGAGTTCAAGCCCCAGGACTGGAAGAAAAAGAACAAAAATCCTGGAACTAGAGGTGTGTCTCAAGTAGTAGAGTGCCACCTGTGAGTGTTGAATGCTTTCGAGTCATTGCATACATATACATAAGAGGTTTATGTTCTAGATGCCTCTTTATCAACATCCCGGAGTATGTTTCTGAGTACTGATATTTTGGGTGATTTCCTTAGAAGGTTCTTTACACTCTTTGGTACATTTATTATTATCTTTAGGTAATTGTACCAGAGGTTTCAGTTCAATGTGTCAATTTATGTGTACAATGCATCTTAACAGCTTTTTTTTTATTCACTGTTAAATCAACTTATAGACTCTAAGTCTTTTTGTGGGGGAGAATAGAGGAGTTTGAACTCTAGGACTTGTGCTTACTAGCAGGTGCTCTACCACTTGTGCCACACCACCAGCCCTTTTGTGCTTTTTAGTCACTTTGGGTATAGGGTCTCATGCTTTTGTTTAGGGTCATCCTTGGACTTTGATTTTTCTACCAATACTTCCCTTACAGCTGGAACTACAGTCACACACCACCACGTTGGCTTTTTTGTTGTTGTTGTTGATATGAGGATTTTGCTAGCCTTAGGTTTTGCTCAGGTTGGCCTCAAACTGCAATTCTCCCCAACTCCACCTCCCAAGTAGCTGGGATTATAGGTGTGCTTGTAACTCATTAATATCTATATCATATAGAATATAGATCTATTTAATCAAACAGTTACCGGGCATGGAGACATCTTCCAATGTCTATTAGTATCAGATTTACAATACAGATGTTTTATCTATCTTTTCATGTTTCTAACTTCATCTTTCATTTCCTGTAGCTGGGCACTGGTGGCTCGCGCCTGTAATCCTAGCTACTCAGGAGGCTGAGATCTGAGGATTGAGGTTGGAAGCCAGTTGGGGCATGAAAGTCCATGAGACTCTTTTTTTTTTTTTTTTCTCAGTCATGAGTTTGGAGCCTGGGCACTGTCCCTCAGCTCTTCAGCTCAAGGTGAGCACTCCATCACTTACGCCACAGGACCACTTCTGGTTTTCTGGTGGTTTGTTGGAGATAAGAGTCTCACGGACTTTCCTGCCCCCACTGGCTTTGAACCACGATCCTCAGATCTCAGCCTCCTGAGTAGCTAGGATTACAGGCATGAGTCACCGGCACTAGGCAAGACTCTTACCTCCAATTAACTACCAAAAAAAGCCAGAAGTAGAGCTGTGGCTCAAGTAGTAAAGGCAAAAACACTCAAGGACAGTGCCTAAGCCCCGGGTTTAAGCCCCAGGACCGGCATCCTCCCCTGTTCCCCCCCCCAACACACACACAAATAAAAATCCTACAAGTAGAACCCCCAGGCCAAAACATTACAAAGCATAACTCTAGATACCAACATAGCTTTTGTTGTTGTTAAGTCACATGCTTTGTTTTCTCTCAAGTAATTAAACCAAATTGCACCCATAAAGATGTATTTGCAGGTAGTATACTTATAAACCTAGTTCAGACTTCTAAGCTCAGAAAAATCTCAAAGCTGCACAATATAAAACCCCCATTGTTATAACACTGGGCATGAACCACATATTCAAAGGGCTCAACGGGGAGGGGGGGCGGGGGGAAGGGAGCCATAGTCCTTTTAAAGAGATGATGTCCAAGAAAGGAATGGTTTTATCTGTTTACTGCTGGTCTCCCTAAGACCACCAGGATATTTCTTATCCCATTCAGACTCCAGGTTTCTTTGACCCCTCCCATGCCCAGACCAACTGGCCTTCCAGGTCTTCCCACTCCCTACCCCAACCCCCCATAATCCAACGTGTCAGCAACAAACAGATGTTTTCAGGAAAAGAATAAATCTCCCCCTGACTCTGTCCAAATATGGCCCCTTTGGAGGGTGGGACATCCCCTCCCCCTCTCTCAGCTCTAGCTTTCTCCTAATTGTAGGACAGGGTCAACACCCTTAATCTGAAGCTTTACGTGTTTCAGAGTATTTCAGATTTCTGATTTGGGGATTAGAGTTGCTCAGCCAGGAAAATCTACACAAATATTCCAGAACCAGAAAAAAAAAAATTGACATCACAAATGTTTCTCTTCCCAGGGATTTCAGAGCAGGGCTTCTCAGCCTGCCCTTCCAGACAGCCAGCCAGAGGGGCAAACCTCTTCTGGGACCCCCCTGCCCCCCCCCCCCCCCCGCCGCCCCATGCATGTGCTATGCTGACTCTGACAATTCCTGGTGACACCTTGGCCATTCTTCTGCATTGTGGAGGTCCCTGTGCCCTGCCTGCCATTAGCCTCAGGGACAACTACAAGGTTGTCACATGTCACACAGACTCCCAGAATCCAACGCCACTTCCAATGCCTCATCGTGTCTAGCGTTTGCTCTGAGCCCATATCAACTATGTACTTCCAGACTGCATCGCCATTACAGACAATACCCTTTGTGTGTGTGTGTGTGTGTGTGTTTCCTTTCTTTTCTTTCTTTCCTCCCTTCTCTTACTTCCCTTCCTTCTTTCTTCCCTCCCTTTCTTTCCTACCCTTCCTTCCCTCCCTTTCTTTCTATTCTCCCTTCTTTCTCCTTTTTTTCTTCCTCTTCTTCCCTCCCCCCTGCCTCTCCTCCTTCCTCTTTACTTTCCCACTCGCTCTCCTCCATTTCCCTCCCCCACTTCTAATACTGGGACTTGACTAAGGACTTTTAGATTTTTAGACAAGTACTCTATTGCTTGAGCCATGCCTACAAGCATATTTAACTCTGGTTATTTTTGAGATTGGATCTTACTGTTTGCCTTGGCTGGCCTAGTCAACAATCTCTGATTTTTATTTGCATCATAGCTAGGATGATAGCTGTACACTACCACGCCCAACTATTAGTTGAGGGTCTCGGAAACAATTTGTCTGGACTGGTCTCAAACCATAATCCTTCTGATCTCAACCTCCAGGTAGCTAGGATTATAAACATGAGCTACCACACCCAGCTCAACACCCAACTTCCTGACCACATTTTCCTGGCCTTTTTTTTAAATAAGTTTTTTTATTGTGAAAATACTGTACAGAGGGGTGACATTAACATGAGCAAGGTAATGAGTACATTTCTTTCAAGCATTGTTGCCTCCTCCTTTGTTTTTCCCTACCATCCCTTCCCTCCCACCTCTACAACTACACTCCCCCCCCCAACCTCCCATACCCCCACCTGCCTAAATTGTAAAGTTCATTTTTCAACACCTTGTACATCTCATTGTTGCAATGGGTCCACTTGTATCCCTACTTAAACATTTGGTTTTTTCCCTTCCCCTCCCCAAATTATACCGACATCAAATACAGTGGAAACAGGGGTTATACCTTGGGGGAGGAACATACAAAGCAACAAAAAAAATCACATGGTACCTTATAAATACGTTAGAAACAATAGCAAGAAAGGAAAAAAAACCACTTGTGTCCCTTTCCTGGCCTTTTTAAGTCACTTGCCCTTCTGGCTTCTCACACAACTTTGTTCCCAATAACAATGACAATCCATGGACCTCATCAGGGTAACAGGCTTCAGATCTCCCCGCGGAGCACGGCTTCTAACAACTCCCAAGCCAACCCAGTCTCCGGTGCCTAGAGTCCTTCCAGATTCTACAAAACTATTCTTAAATGAAGCCACCCTCTCTACTTCCTTTATCTCTGAACTGGAACAGAACTTTGCTGGAGAAAAGTTGTGTGGGGATGCTGATCATGTGAACCTTAATATTACAAACCTCACACAACACTGGGCTGATTTGAACCCAGTAGACTCAGCACTGAACTGGTGCACCTTGTTAATGGTTTCATGTCTTCACCACTACATTCTATGTTGCCTTCAGACAGTGGAGACATCTGGTGTCTATGCCAGCACCAGTTTTTCTAAGAGTTTTGTTTATTGGCTAATGTTTTTAATATATTTTTATTATAAAAATGCTATACAGAAGGGTTACAGTTACATGAGTAAGGTAATGAGTATATTTCCTAGCCAGTGTTGTTACCTCCTCCTTTGTTTTTCCCCTACCATCCCTTCCCCTCCCACCTCCCGAACTCCTCCCTCCCTGTTTCCAAGTTGTAAAGTTCATTTTCAACATAGTGTCTTGTACATCTCATTATTACAATGGGTCAACCTGTATCCTTCTTTAAGCATTTTATTTATTTATTTCCTTCCCCTCCCCAAATTAGAAAAAATGTATAGACAAGATGCAGAGCACCAGAATCAAATACAGTGAAAACAGGAGTTATTTATACTGTGGGAAGAACATACAAAAGAAACAAAAATA